TTAGTATCTCCTTGTTCAGCTGCTTTTTTATACCATTCAACTGCTTTTTGTTCATTCTTTTCTACTCCAGTTCCATTGCATAACATAGCCATCTCCTTGTTCGGCTACCCTGTGTATGTGGTATAACACATGTTGATTCCCCCATTTTTGTATAGGTAGCATAAAAACAACTAGTACTTTGTATATCGAAAAATCAAATATACTCGATGTATATTAGTATGTTGTATGTTGTATGTCAGCTCTACAATTTCGACTAATACTAAGGGAAAATACGAGATGTAGTGCAACGTGAGGCAATTAGGAGAATGTTACATCCAGCGATAATACTAAAATTCGAAATCATATTCTTCTACCTTCTATTCTACCCCACGTCCTATTTCTCACAAAGTGTGAATTGTTGCGATGGATGGTAATTTACTTGATTAAATAAATCTACTGTACCAGCCTTGACATTTTTCGACGTGCAAATGTTTATGTAAAATAGCGAACATAAGAAGTTCAACACCGCAATAGTTTTTCACAAATGAACTAATTCAGGAAAGACGAATATTACTGAGCTTTTTATTTGCAAATAAGGTATCAGATATTTGGGGGAAAACCGATTTGAAATCGTTACGTTCTGATCAGTGAAAACTGAGCTGAATACGTATGCACAGAATATTGACTGAAAAGCAGACGAGGGTTATATTCGACGATGGTTTCGTTGAATTTTTTTTACTTTGTTACTACAGACGAGGGAACATGAGTTTGCCATTGCTAGACAACATCAATCCTGTTTGGTTAAGGCAACACTGTTTATTTTATATTCTTATATGGCATATACACTTTACTTTGGAAAAGACTCCCTTATTGTAGAATGGACAAACTTATTTATAACACAGAATGTGTGACTTTAACAATGTCCGAGAACGATTAACACACATACAGTGTACAGACGATATCAAGTAGAATTCATCATCCTGTGTACCAATTTGTAAGGTACATTTAGCTGTACGCGCTCGAATTTTCTAATGCGTTGCTCCGCTGACACTTTTCTTCTAAATATTGACAAGTCAATAACCAGAGTTTACGCATATTATGAATGTGTTAGATCATGTTTGAGAATTAAGTGTAATTGAGTACGTTTGCTATTAATAATTTACGTTAATAATATTATTGGTATCAAAACGGGGCAAATCTCTCCGTCGGCTCGTATATGGTGAGTTTTTTATTCCATCTTTGCGAACATTTAATAACTTTCTTAATCAACCAGCGTGTTAATGTGAATAAGAGATATTGTTATAAACGATATAAACGTTGCGAAGTATAATTATAATGAATGGATAATTGATAATTAATCGTTCACGCGGAAACATTTGTTTAACAGTAATCTCATTGCTACATGACGTTTAACTGAGAATGGACAACACTCCACTTAGGTAATGACTCATGTTGCGTAGCGGGGATACTCACTAGAATATTCGGACAAGTTAACCCCACCATTCGAGAGTGTTTATAATCCTGATTCCTTGAACCGGAATTAATTCCGATGATGATTAGTAATATCAATTACCAATGGGGGGTCATGTTATGTTACTATGAGTTACTTCACTATTCCGCTGTGTTGATATTACCGCTTGACGAGTATTATGACATTGCTGAAACAGAGTGACTGAATAGCGGAAACAAGAATATTTGTCTAAACATGTGATTAAGGCCAACGTTTTCAGAATCTCCCGTGTCTGAAAGTGATATCGACCCTTTTACATTACAAATAAATTGCCAAGTTTCAAATCGCCGTATATTTTTTTATACGCGTTTGCGGAAGTCGTTGGTCGGTCGTTTTTGCCGTGTTCGCTGTGGCCTATTGTAGATTCGTATAATCGCGAATCATAGTGCCCAACAATGACTGCCACGTTCACAAAAGTTATTTCATCTTATCGTAATACAATCATATTATCGTAGTTTTAAAAATTATAATTTCTAAATACCCCAGTAACAACGTTTTCAGCCTGTTAGCAAATTTGCAATTTCGTGTCGCATGCAATTTTTGCGTCGCACACAGGTTTACTTAATGTTTTCTGATGAAGGTTTCCTGTTCTAATTCTAATAATACCAAAATTTTGCAGCATTTCTGATTTGTTTTTTTTTCTTGCTCATACCTGATAGAAAGCAAAATAAGAGAATTCCACGCAAACTTAAGCAAGCGTCCTCTCGAACTTATTTGTTAAAGCTATTTTAGTTTGTTGATAGAACAGTGTAAAAGCCTTTGAAGAACTGAGTAAAATGGTTTAGCTGCACATCTTTTGAAACTCGATCATAAATTTATATTAAGCATTAGCTGTTGGACGCAAAATCGTAATATTCCAAGTCATTATATTTATCTTGTAGCATGCCAGGGATGTCAGGAATTCCAGGTTGAAAGGGAAAGTATTGCGGAGTTATGGAAAAAATATTTCTTTTCTTCACACTAATTGTTGGGAGCCAGCGGTGTTACAGAGGGCTGATACCGTTTAATATTAAATTAAGCCCTAGCGAGCATCATGCTGTGAATAAAAGTTCCTCGCGAATTTACAAGAGCTGGCCCATCAATAGAGAAAATGACAGGATTTTGGCATGGAAAATAGATGTTTGCGCCAACCTTTGCTATTGTATAGCTAATACCGGCGAAGTAGGCGTAAAACTATTTTGTTGCTTAAAACTAATGTAAAGTATATAGCAGTGATTTATCATGACAATTTATGGTCGTTGTAAATACTTAGACGTTTCAGGCAATTTCGCTGTAAATGTTTTTGATGAATAGCAGAACAATAAACCTTTTCTAGATCTCGCGAAATAATTGACGATTGCAATGAGTAGATTTAGTTTATTGTCGATAAAACTTCTTTTCCAAAAAATTATAGAAAATAAAATTGTAATAAAAAAAATAATTCCCAAACCGAAAGATAAACAACTTGTGAAAATCAATGTCTTCCATAACAGCAATGCTAATAGAGAAATCCTCTTTTAGTATCCGGTGAAGAGTCCTGGTAGTGAAGTTGATTGTCAAGATGTTCCGTAACTGCTCATTAACGATTTGTCATTGGTTTGTGATATTCAAAATGTATTAGTATGATCTACACTAGTCATTACAATTACTATTACCCCTGTTTACGCACTCGAATCAGGACCAAAATTGTCAGCGTCATATGCGCGACGTTTTATTTTTTTTTTCTTTACTTATTATTACTAATAATTAGTGTATTACATTACTAGCTGTAGAATGTTCCTTTTTTTGTATTTTTAATATCATGGTGACATGTAAGATGTCGATTACAATGAAAAAGTGGGGAGTCGGTTATGAAATTGAATGATTATAATGTCACGAATTAATTATGCTGAATGGGAATAGATAAGAAAAAAAGAGCGACGAAAGAGCAAAACAGTTTCTATTCATGCGGATCGAAATAGCTAGGTTGATAAATAAATTGTATAATGCTCCAAAGTGCTCTAAAGTATGATATTAGTGATACATATATATAAAAATATGTATATAATGTAGAATACTAATATAATAAATTTGCATAATCCAATCATTATAATAAAGGAAAGTGAAGGTTCCATATTCCTGTTGACCGGGTTAAAGTGTCGGCTTTGAATGAAAGTCAAATAGCGCCAAACTCGACCTATAGAGAAACATTTTCACGCTTACAAGTTCGATGAATTATGCAATACTCATTCTCCTCTCCAAAGACTCAAGTCTAGCCTTCAAATGAGTCAGTACGTTCTCATAATCCTTCTTCTGAACATCTTCACTCTGTCGTCTACTGAATGCTTCTGGAGTCCGAGGGGACATCGTCTTACTGCTCCCAGAATATCCGGAATCACTACTAAAAGTACTGATATTACTTAATCGTCTATCACAATCCAAAGGAGGACTCGAAGTCACACAATTCATTCGTTCTTCAACACGAGCAACTCTCTTCTCAATCGACGTAAGATCGTTTATGACTTCGCGCTGCATCTCACGAACTTGTCCGCGTACCAAAGACTCGATCATCAAACCTGACGATTGTAACGTTTGCAGTAAAGCTGACGTCTTACGTATTTGCTCTTCCAGAGTATTTTTAAGCGAATGCGTGTCTGCAACAGTGTCATAGAATGTGTCAAATACTTGCATAAAAGAATCTTTGGGTCGATCAGAAGATGGTGCCGAAGAATTATTCGTCGATGACTCTCGGTGGGGAAGCGTGGTGGAGGAAGCACGAGGGGTGCTTGATGGAGTTACTTGAATACTAGGAACGGGCCTAGTTGTATTATGACAATCGGATGAAATTAGCCCGTGAATACTCGCACTCCTTGAAGCGGGATGATCAGTCTGGCTCTGATTAGACTGCCTACGAGCCGATGAAAATGCAGACTGAGGTGGATATCCTGAAATGCTTGCCCGATGACCAGCTGTCATCGACGCATGTATCGGTGAACGATTATCCGATGAACCACTTGCGCTCATGGTTCTGTTGACTCTAGGTAGAGAATACAAACTAAGATTCTTGGAATTTCGGTTGACTCGATGTTGAGAAAGAGAATGCCTCTTTGTAAGTAGGTGTCTATTCGGGTCCCATGCAGCCGAAAGGTTCGAATTTGAAGGAGCATTATAACCTGCCACCGCAACAGAATGCCTTCTATCCACAATACTTTCTTGCATCAGCCGGTTCTGTCGTACTTCTCCAACAGTCTTTTGCTGTTTCAACATGATATTATTCCTCACATGTTCCATTACTTCTGGATTATTGGTGGTTTTGGTATTAGTGGATGGAATAACTCGCCTTCGTTTTCGGCGAATATTATCGTCGTCCGTGACTGAAGTATCAAAAGCTGAACCCGGTGAAGACGATCGAGAGGATCGAAGCGTCTGATCAGGAGATGATGGAGCTGAATTTGCAGGTGAGGGCTCTTGTTTGACTATCGGTGCTGGTGCATTGAATTCAATACGATCAGACGTCGGCGTAATTCGCGTCTCATATCTATCATCCGTATCATCATTGTCAAGTACATCAGCAATTGATATTCTGCCACCCTGACTGCGTTTCCTATTGTTAACTGGTTGATCAGTGTTGGTATTCGACGGCGACGGCGGTGGGGCCTGTTGCTGTTGTTGTGTTGCATGCATTCGCATAGACGTCCACGCCCCAGCATCAATAGCAACAAACTCGAACTCGGCCTCAACACAAAGAGACTTTATAATCGGCACTTTTGCTTTCTTTAACAACCGATCGGCTGCTCCTGCCATTATTTCGTTTCGAGACAATTTACAAAACTCGGCTAATAACGTATTTCCCATTCGGAGTGCTGTTTCATTTAATGCACGAGAACTCAAATATACATCTCCTGAACGTTCATAGAAACAGTATCCTGGTGTATCAAAATAAACTTGTGGTATGTGTCCAGAATCATAAATATATCCTACACTAGCATTGAAGAAGATCGTATCAATGTCCCGTAAACGATAGAATGGTTGATATATTGGTTGTGTAGGAGTAGAAGAATTTGTGTCAAGTGCTGTTGCTACTAAGGGAAAGAGGTATAGACAGAAGGGTTGTTGATTAGAATATACTCCGAACTGAAGCCTAGTGACCTGCATAGTCTAAATGTGCAAAATGGGAGGAACGGACGCAATAGGTTTGGATGGTTCTCCTAATAAATAGGTCGCAAAGAGAATGGTCGGGAAAAAGGAATTTAGGTAAAAATAATAGGATGTCGGAGTTGAATGGAAATGTTGACAGGGAGTGGTGGTGGGTGAAGAGAGGGCGGAGCGGAACGGGATGTCGGAAATGATATTATAGGGAAAGGGGCGGAAATAATTGAAAGGAATGTATTAAGGCTAATGACAAATAATCCTTTATTTCTTGTGAAAACCGGTTTATTTGTTTTGATTCTGCCTAAAGGAGTGATGACTATAGTTGGAATAATAGAGACCCTTTCGGTTTGGATCCGGTCAAAAGGAAAGGATAAAGAGGCTTTGATTGAAATGATGATAGATTGCTGATTGCCCCAAGCGTTCTACTTTTCAAAAAATCGAAATCTCCGCTGGGCGTACAAATGTGTGACAGCATTTTTATTATAGCGTGTAATTTGATAGTGTTATATTGAATTCATTTTGCTTTACGCTATGGGCAAGTCGAAAGGTGGAATTGCAAAGGGAGGCAAGGGGCAATGCCCAGAGGCGTATCAGAGGATGAATTTTCTGTATCAGGCGGCTGTCCTGATGACTCGGACTTATATGGAAGAGAAACAACGAGAGAAGCGGCACGACGAAAGTAAAATGGATGTACAAGAGGAGAAAGATGGCATTGGCGATACGGAAGAGAAAGTCGAGTCGCTTGTATCGTTGGGAAGATTCTACACTAACACGATGAAAAGCATCGGGCGAAAACAAGTTCTTAGGGTGTGAGTATGCTGCTGTTTTTATTACACCTTATTCTAGAGATGTAAAATGCTCATCGATTTCTTAAAAAAGAGATCCCTCGATAAAGCGCACTCTTTGCCAAAGGTGCGAGTGCGTGCTTATCCCCGGACTTACGTCGCACGTACGAATTAAATGTGAGTATCGTCAACGCTTTGATTTTGTTCCAATAAAGTTTAAAATAAATCAAGCTTTTCCATTTCGGGTTTCTTTTTTTCGTTTCGGGTCCAAGCTGGTCCCCAAAAACAGATGCGACTTTCTTGCACCCAGTGTCTACACACTAGAAAGATCCCTATTCGATCTGGATACACGCTGTTTTCCGAAAGGTCTGGGCAATAAAAAGTTTTTACAAGCGATAAATTTACGTATTCAAATATATGCGAGAGTAAAAAGAATTGAATTTTACCATGCTAGTAAATAAGGTTCAAGGACTGCATAAACATGGTGTCACAGAGATCCAATACTGTTAAACAGCAAGAGTTTCATAACAAATAAAGTGCTCGACTTCCAGAACTGTATCACAGGTACCTTCGAATGATTACAATTAATATTAAATGGATTTCAATATTACTAATTGACAACCTTTCAAACGTGTTTTATACGTATTCGTATGGGACAGACAAATAGACAGTCTCATTAATAAGAAACGAAAATCTCATTATCATGTTAAAGATATTACTTAAATCTACTGATGCACTAGTAGCAAAATAAACTGAACGCCTCGGAGACTGTCCTTTTCGCATTTCATTGATATGCTTCTCACTTGGTTATTGACATATTCGCAAATTCTGGTCAAAAGTCATATACTGAATAACAACTGTAGTCAGAAATAACTCAAGGCGCGATTAGAAAAAAAAAATTCAGTGAACCTTTGTACTATTGTTGTTTTTCAGCATAGACAATGGATCACTTTGACTGGATTATATATATAGTCACATGACGTACTACTACACCGTATACTTAGCCTAATTTAAGGATTCCCTGGGAATTTCTATTACTCTTTCGCTTTGTCCCAATGACTTCCCTGTACCGAGTAAGTTTCTCAATCTTTGTCAAAGTTACTAGTGCCATTTCCTTACCTTATTCACACATGTTTGTTTAGATTAATTATGCGCTTCGCGCGCATAAACGAGATCCGTTTATAGAATTTATCAAGGTAAGAAAACGGATAATCTCTGTAGGATTGAATGATAATGCGTTAGGAATGTCTTTAAGAACGCGACTTGATTATTTTAGGCAATGTTAATGACGCCATTTGTTCTGTATGCGAGGCCTTTAGATGAAGATGGAGGAAATAATCAAGTAGATGAGAACGTTACTCGTTATTGTGATATTTTATCTAGCATCGAAACTTTGATAGAGGTGAGCGAATTGTTTGCGAGTTCCGTGCACGACATTTGCTTTCGTCTAACTGTTATTGATTCGATTGCAAATTGCACTTTTTTGTTGCAAGGAACACATAAAAATGCAGGAACAAGGCATGTCGACTGAATAGTTTCTTTTGGCTTTTTCTCAGTCTACGTCTATTTACAAACTCTACTGTTTCGCAGGCATCCCTGATCAATCGCGCTTATATCAGTTGGTACCATCAATCTCGACCTTTCACACTCCATTACCCTTAAAGGAATCTTTTCTAAGGGCAAATGCTAAACATTCTATCGCTGCAAGAAGATTTGTCCCTCCTAGTTTCAACGATATTCGCAGGTTTGTTTCTATTATGATAATTATCTTTCCGAATACTATTCGATCCTTGATTAACATTCGAATCTTTTGATGTCATTTGAAGAGCAGAATATTAAATACCGCACAGGTGAGTTCTTTAGCCTTCATACTAATTTAAAGAGTTTGTTATTGTATTTGGTTTAACTATTGTTTGGCAGATCATTGCTATTGCATCCGATTTAAAACTTATTACTTTGTAAGTATTACTTGCAATCATTGGGGAAGGGGGTGTTTTCTCGCAAGATTATATTAATCATGTCTGTGTAGTGATGGTGACATGACATTATATGAAGATGGCGCCGATTTCGAGCACAATTCGGCCCTAGTGCAGCTTCTTATTAAACTCTTAGAGTTTGATTTGTATGTATGTGTTGTTACGGCAGCCGGATATCCTGGTGATGCAGAGCGCTATGAACAGAGGCTGTCTGGGCTGTTAAACGGTTTTAGAAATGCCGAGTTGTCCAAGGACGTGTGTCAGAAATTTTTCTTGCTAGGTATGAATAGCTTATCCATGGCGTCTCCACTACTTTTTTGCATTTACAGTTTCCTATAAAGCAGATCGGTTATTTGCATTATTCGTAGGAGGTGAATGTAATTATTTATTTCAATGTCAGGAAGATTATCATCTGAAATATATACCAGAGGAGTAAGTAAATAATGGGGGGTTTTGAAAGTGGAAAGATCGAGTATCGCACTCATACGGTCATAGACAATATCAACCAGATTTCGTCAATGCGTGGAAAGCAGAAGACATAAAAGACTTTCTAGATATCGCTGAAAATAATCTCCAAAAGTGTGTTAACGAAATGAAATTACCTTGTACCTTGTTCAGGAAGAGTCGAGCTGTTGGTATGCACTTGAATCGTTGGGCTATTACTTTGACACTATAACTAATAATTGCAAATTTTAGGGACAGTGACGCATCCCGGTAAGAAAATCTTCAGAGAGCAACTGGTATCTGTTCGAATTTAACTGGTTCTGCTCATCCTGTTCTCCCCATCATCTTTGGCCACGTAAATTAAGACAATTTTCAATTATAAGGATGAACTCGTGCTTTCGACTCAACACAAGTTACTCATGTATCTCCAATCGCCATCCGGAGAGAAGAAAGCGCTTCCATTTTGCGCATTCAATGGTGGCGCAGATGTATGGGTTGACGTGTAAGTCATAGGCATCTTTGGTATGTGTATACACAACATAAACGTATGATTAACCATTATTTCAGCGGGAATAAGTTGATCGGCGTGCAAATGTTGCAGCAATACTTCAATACTTTACCAAATGAAACTCTTCATATTGGCGATCAGGTAAGCTATTGATGCATTTTTGTTAGACTCGCAATCATAGGTTGTTATTTATGCACAACTTTTCCTTATAGTTTCTGTCAACGGGAAATGATTATGCAACGCGCAGACAATGTTGTACTCTATGGATTATCAATCCCGAAGAGACACAGGACGTTTTGATAGAATTGAACGCATTGCTAGAAGCGAAATTTGAATTTCAGTCTTGAATGATCGATTCGATTACAAAACTTTATCGATGGATGTATTTTCTTACTAACAATCTAAATCTTTTTGGGCATACTGTACTTGTTTAACTTGTGATAATGGACGAAAATATTTTAACTAGCTATTTACACGTCTTTAAATTCCAAGTATCTTTTTTCTCGCACACGTGAACGGTCGACCCAACATTGATCCCACGTGATGCGTGTTCTCCTAACCACATAACAATTATATACGACGCCTCTGGGAAATTTTAATCAATGAGAAATGATCTTGAATGGATGTGCTTCAGTGTTCAGGACATATTCATCCAGCGAAATGACATTGACATCGCTGAACAATAAGTACAAGTACTTGAGTGTTTCAGCGTAGAAAAAACTGCAACATAAAAATGTACAGTATGTTAGTATACATGCTTTATGAATCACAAAACAACAATGACTTGCCTCTCAGCTGTATCATCCCAAGCACCCATTGGATCCGAAACGTCATTTATACCAGAGTACGCTATCTCGGTAGAACAATATCGTTCAATAGACTGCAAGTGAACAGAATGTTAGATTGCGAACAGATACTGGTACAAGTAACAATCAGATAGAAGACTCTGCTTCAGTTTCGTTTTTAGCCTCAGATTTGCCTTCCTTACTTTGAAGATTTCCCATCCCCAATCCTATACTCGGGCGGGAAATGAAAAACGTCTTAGATCCTGAATACACAAATCTCAAAAAATACTTTACATACGTGAGTTCACCTGATATTTAGCATTTCCGGTTATTCTGTACGCATAGAATAAGCTTTCTATTACCTCTATGGAATTTATGAATTATGTCAAGATATGTAAACTAATTCGAATCCAGCTTCGTGTTGGCGCGATGCTTACCTGGTCTCAAATAGTATCCGTAATTAACGGGGTAAAACCCAACCAGCCTACTCATTTTCCTCTGTACTCTGCTCATAAATAGGCTCTCCTTTCCGTTAGTTGGAATCCATGCAAATATTTCAGGACCAAGACCAGTTGCTGTACTATAACACGTCCTATAACAAGATTCTGTTAAATTCAACCCCAATTCAATAAGCGAGTTATCTTTCAAAGCCTTCCCACCGAGGAGAATGTTGCCGCCCATGAAGCAAGCCTGAAATACATTAAAGATTGTTTCACTGAAAACTGAAAACATAGCAAATATGACTTGATCACGATCAATATCAATTCACTCTACCTACCAGATGCTCCATTTTGTATATTGCTTTGTTGTCCTTCCATTGGGTTACAAATGTAAGATCGCTAAAGTCTTTTACACCAGAAATAAGCCTTTCTTTTGTTGTATTGACAGCCGTTTTCCACATGTCGAGTACGTCGGATCTTTCGCCGTTAGTCAACAGATAATGTTTCAAAAGATACTGCACGCGATGCAAGTTAACTGATTCGTTAAATGCGATGGAGATTTGCTAATGCCACGTTGACGAGACATACCTCGTAAAAACTGTCTCCATGGCCACCCCACGTAACATGAGCTGTTAATAATACAAAAATTAAGCGCTTGAATTTGGGGAAATGTTAACTGTACAAAATAATACATACTAGTTGTGAATTTTAGAGAATACGGATCGATATGTATTGGATACAGTCCGGGTAAAGCCAGTTCAGATTTTTTCTGTTTCAATATGTCAATTACTTTCTGCGCCTAGAAATTTGAATACGTGCCGGGTTACTAGATATATGAAGGAAGCAGACTTTCCTCAAAAAAAAGGAAACCAGATTTACTTTTTTATCATAGATATTGTTCCCGGTAATCTCACTTAACTTTCTAAACTCAAGTTGTAAGCTGCCGATCTCAGCCAAAGAGGATGATTTATGTCTATAATGACTATCAACACCTTTTCCAGCCTTTATGTCAACAGAATGTAAGGGAATTCCAAACGGTGTGTCAAAGGCAGGAAGAAGAATGTCAGCCAGTTGAACAGCTTTATCAATGAAAACTTTGTCCTTTGTTAGATCGTAAGCGCTGATTAGTCCTCCTATAAATAAAGATATTTGACTGAGCATCCAAACACAAAACCGAATAGTGCAAATTGGTCAAACGCGTGCATACAAACCCAAGTATCTTATCGTCGTCTCGAACACTTGTACTACATAATCGTCGGTATCCGTAAAACGCACGTTTTTTACGTGTTCTCTTGCGGCCTTAAATTCCTCTGCAATTCATCCCATCCTAATTAACACACAATCACAAAGCTGTCGACTTCATCCATGATATCCAGTGCCACATACCAGTCAAATTCATAATGATAAGCGTATCTAATGCATCGAAGATGGTAGCACCCCAATTATTTCTTTGTCCCTTCCATCCGCCTGTAACTGGCCTTACTTCGTCATGTCCCCAAGCGTGAGCCTGATAACCTCGAAATGCTCGCCTGAATGCTAGCCTTACAGCATTAATGCGATCTCCGCCATAATATGCGGGTGGCGTAGATGGGAATAACCGTCCGGTCTGAAGGAAATTTGTTTCCACAACACAGGATATAAGCGAAAATAAAGCCGTGAGGATTATTATCAGTAATAATAGAATCGAACACAGACGAACCGTCAGCAGACAGCTCGCTGATTGATTCTGTAATGTAGTTAAAGGTGAGTAACGGTAAGTTCTCATTCGAAACGGAATTACTAAAACAGAATGTGACGAAATTTTGTGGACAGCAGCACTGCATATATACAGTATCAACACCTATATTGATTCCCCATATTTGGTAGGATACAAGTTCACATCTACCTCACTAACGGTACATTTGTACTGATGCTGGTTGATTTATGTGTTCCTGTATGTAAATTAACACACAAATATTCTCATAATTTAGAACGTGTGCCACAAGCAGTTTGTCTGTTACAGTGTATACGGAGTTAACCAAATTAATATCCTGGGAAAGTTTAGACCTTAAATGGATACATCGGAACTTGCCAAAAGCGGTTGGATTTGATCTATAAACAGTATCTGAAGTTTACATCAGCCATGCGATCCACTACAAAAAAACTCTTTTAACGCAGTTTTTAATTGGAATAAAAAAAAATTGTGATCAGCACGAAGCGTTTTCTGTATGTACCAATGCTCCAAGACTAATTTCATGTCAAGTATCTCATGGATCGTGATGAAGGCAATATACGAGTTAAACAAAGACCGTCATGCGGGAGATATGTTAAGAGACTTTTGCTTGAGACTGCATTAAGACGAGCATACGCCGTCAACGCCTCCATCCGGGAACTTCAGCGAACTAATAAAACAACCAAAAACAGCCGAGGCATGCTTCCTTTGTCTCGCGTCGCAAAATAGCTATCTGTTTAGATTACGTCTTGGTACCAAAACGCACCTCTCACATCTATAGTGGTTCTAGATGCACACATGTGATTTAGTAAGCAGATAATGCCGTTGTCATACGTCAGCAAATTGTAATACAATTACTTAATCAGCCTTTTAAATTTTACCACCAATACCAAGTGATGGAAATTTGAAGAATTTCCGAGTTTCCCAGTTGTCAGTGCAGTGCAAAATGCTTACGATAAAAAGTCTGGAACGTTACAAGCGTTCTTTATCCAACAAGAAATATGAAAGTAATTGAAACTTGCAAAATTCCATCAATATCAAAGAGAAGAAGACAAATGCAATACAACAATTAGGAACAATTAAATCAATCATGTACGGGATATCAATGATAAATTTTGGCCAAAGTTGATTAATCCAAGGACTTAATATTAACGTGAATATGACATGATTCATTAATATTATTTGCATCACATGGTGCTCTGTATACACTTTTCACTAATATTACTGTATTTCCAAAATATGCCCTAAGGTCAATGTTTAAAACACATATATAGAGAGTTGTCAGTTAAGAGTATTCCGTATGTGTCTGTAAACATTATTCGGAAGATGAGATCTCGGATCGTACACTTCGCGGTCATGGTGAATACAGAGCCCCGATAAAGCATTCTGGCCGCAATGAAAACTTTGTTTCTAAATCGATGTGAATATGGAGACGAAATATACAAGCAATTTGTCAAAAACGTTGTCACTGTTATCTTTTTATCAGTAGTTACATAACATCCAACGGTTGTATAAATTCTCCAAAATTTCGTCCGTTAATAAAAAGACGACAAGAAGTAAAAAAGACAAGAGAGACTCATCATGACTTATTTTTTCCTTTCGTTCGATTCACACTGTTTGTTCAATCTTTAATGAACTGTTAAGACTAGACTAATCAATGCATCGTCATATTGTCTTAATTCCAGATAGACAGCCGTGAATTATAATAATAATATTAATATTATAATAATAGCTGAGTACTCATAAAAAGTGATTTCCCTTACGCCGTTGCTTACACCAATGGTGTTAAAACGAGCCTTACACCAATAACAAAATGCGGTTTAATGGTCCATACACGCCAGACATAATAGATGAAATCCAAACAACGTTCAACCGCTTTCATAGCTTCTTTTACTTTCGCCGCTAATTCGAGAAGGTGCGTATTACATGGATTGCCTTCATACCATCTATAACAATTCGAAAGGACGTTAAATAGTGATGTAGAAATGTCGTCATGCGCGTTTGCAATATGTATAACTCGTACACACAAATCTGTGGTTTTTCCGCCTCAAACACATTATGTGTCACCACAATACATTATGTCCACAAGCCTTGGATTATTATGCTTTAGTATCAAAGCACTTACACATTGCATGTGCGGCGCACTGGGTGTTGTTTTTAATTCATCGAAGAAGCATAGCGTGGGAACTCATCTATTTTTTAAACACGTGAACATTCCACTGTACTACAGAAAGTATACGTCTCCACTCGTTGCAAAACCGATGGAGTCAAGGAATACGAATTAAAAACGTCGAGCGGGTCAGTTTTATAATATTACTATTGTACTAATGGTTAATTTAGTATATTCTCAATATCCTCGGCAGTTAACCACTTTTTAAACTATTGTCCATTTACAAAGAATATTACTCATAAATAAACCATTTTGTAGGACAATCTTATTCTGATTCTTGAAGATGACGAAAAATTTGCATATGCCACCTTTGGCTCTGTACTTCACGATATGCAAGCAGATAACCCCCTACGACCCATTGTACTTGGTGCCCTCGATACAAGCGGATTTGATGGCGTTTGGAAAGAAATGCTTACCAGAGATGAAAAAGCCGTTTGTTCTTAGTCATCCACCTGATGAATATGTGTCTCTCAATGTTGACACAAATGGTGCTATAAGGATGATGTGTCAGGAACTGATTGATAACTGCTGCAATTCGCTCGATTGTGGTATGGTTGAAACAATCGCTCCTTTCACTATTCCAAGTGGGGTGAATGATAAACATACTAAAGACAGGCTGCAGACGTATGCAGCATACACCTGTTAGAAGCTTTGCAAGTCCATTATTGAAGTCTTTTGTTATTATTATAGATAATGTTTGTATTTATCTCATCACTAATTGATTTTATAGGCGTGATATTTGGACACATCCATCAGACGATCCAATAATGGATTATACTGAAGGAATTATGTCGGAAAAATTATCATGCGATTTTTCGAGACTGGCCCAGCTGTAAAGTATTACAAATAATTGGGGGCCATGGTGAAGTTTATAGATTGGATCTGGTGGTAGGGTCTGCTCAAGGTGACCCACTCCACAGTTTGCCTATCAAAATTGCGGTGTTAGACAGACCTCATTTTGTGGGTTATCGTGTACGCGTGCTAGAGACTTTCACGATACCTCTAAAGCTTCTTAAAAACTGGAGGATTTTGTAAGTCACTGGTTAAAATTTCAACGATTTGGCTCGCCAGCTGCAAGGTCTTGTCAATGAACATGTTACGTTGGTAGGTGAATCTAGTGTTCCAAGAGACCCAAGTGCAATGAATGTTGACGATTTAAATTTCTAGCGCCATGTATGTTTTATATAGGGGCACAGCGGGTACGAGTCGAAAAATACCAGAATTTATTTTTGATAATAAATTGGGTAAAAGTCAACTTGCTTGCACTTTACTGATCCACTACCGAAAGCTGGGTCGCATCAACTCGACTGCAAGGTTTCAGGTGCAGGCGCAACTCCTCATGTCAAACCATTGGAAAGCATTGACCCAAGTGCAATGAATGTTGACGATTTAAATTTTTAGCGCCATGTATGTTTTATATAGGAAAGCATTGATTTATTAAAATTATCATTGTTATTATCAAGCTAATATTCTGGGTCAATTATTTGATGACAGTCATGCTTAACAATGTGGGACTCTTGGTTAGAATTGTATATATTCAAATCGTACTTGATTCCATGTTAACTTTTTGCACACACATGGACAACAGTTAGATTTAACATGCATGTAAATTATACGAGCATTGAATTCTTGGTTGCTGATTCTAGCGAGAAGATTGATTTCACGTTTTCGAAAAATTAAGCAATCGTTATTGTCAATTCAAAATCATACTTGACATTCCGTGTCAATCTTTTGCACACACATTGTCAACAGTTACACTTAGCATGCATGTAACTTTACAAGCGTCGGATTCTCAATGCTAGTTAAAGGTGTTAGCAATTGAGATCGATTTCGCGTTTTCGAAAAATCAAGTAGATCATATTAATATGCGAACTCGAAATCGTATTTAATATTTCGCGCACACAAATTGTCAACAGTCATACTTAACATACATGTAAATTTTATAAGCACGGATTCTTGATTGCTGATTGAGATCGATTTTGCGTTTTCGAGATACATATTATTCACCAATTCTCAACTATCATAATATGAAGGTACATATAAGGGTAATTGTAACAGAATAGCACATTCCCTCTCGCTTTACCCATATATGTATATGCATTAGTATGTATTACGAATATTTTTACTCGAAAGCGGTTGCTGTAATGGACAAAATGGTAATAGTAATATAGAAACTGTTAGTTGTGAAAAATCTAAATTTTACATAAGGAACAAGCGATAAGAAACTGAATGTCAAAACGCGATAGAAGACTCGAGCAACAAGGAGGAAACGATTATTTTTGCGCGAACGAGAAGACAAGCACTTGATATGGTTAAAAAGTTCAAAGGTTTTACAACAGAAAGTATATACGTAATATAATTTCGACGCGTAGATGAAGCCAAACTTGATTGATAGCCAATTGCATGTTTTTAAATGAATCCTCATTATATTCCCGTCCGTGGGGCTAAAAGAGGTATGACTGTATGTGTATATTCCACATAGGAGACCACATTCAATAAATCTTGATAGTGAATATATTAACGTTTTATACTTCAACCGTCTTATTCAAGCTTCTGATTAACCTCTTCGAGTTCTCGAATGGTTTGTAGTACTTTCCACACACTAGGGACGATCAAAAATAGACTGACACCGATAATAGCTACAAGGACGATAACCAACTTAATCGCTACATATGGGATGCCATATGTTAAAGTTTCAAGCACTGCAAAGAGCAAGGAAGTGCAAAGGTCATGAATAAAAGTATAATGGTGAGAATGTACACTTTGTATGAAATCAATTTACCAATGTTGTATTTTATTGCCTGTGATTCTCGCCCCGGAACTATTGATACTCCAGCATAGATTGCTCTCACACGAAGAACTCGCCTCGTCGTGTTAACTTTTGCGTCTTTATGCTGGTTGTGTTATTAGTTAGTAATGGAAAATAGATGCAAAATGATTTAGCCTCATAGTACGCATCCATACTTACATCTGCCAGTTCCTCCAATACGCCTCGTTCTTTTAGGATAGCTGCTGTTTCTTCTATCCCTAATATATCCATAACAAACTCTGTTGGTGACTACGGAAATTGTTCTTAGTAGTTAATACTAGACGCCAAAAATCAAGCCAAGCATGTATCCATCCAATGTAACATACAGATGCAGCATACGAGATCCTAGCTTCATATGTGTGTCTTTGATCTAATTCGTCAAGTATATACCATCGTTCCTTATCGCCAGATTGCAAAACCGAGGATATCTCTGCATTCGGGAAAGGGACTATCATTTCATAGCGTTGTATTGCATATGGTGGTCGGAGAGTCTTTTTGTTTGATATTGAAATTTAATATCGTGTTGTTAATTCATGACATTGTAAATCAAGAAACCTATTACTTACCACTAAAGCGTGTTTCTTGGCCCATTCCTCAATTCCATTAATTATATTAACCGGCACGACATCAGAAGTTGACGTCAGTGTTTCTTTTTCTATATTCGCTTCAACGACGCTCAACAAAGGAGCAATAATAATCAAAATTAAATAATAAAAAAATCTATTCATTTTTTTAGGTCTGTTTGGACATAAATTATTTTTGCCCTTCTTTTAGTGTATATGTGAACCCCAAGATCTTCACTACAGTAACGTGACCGTATGTACGACGTCCCCAGCCAGTTGAAATATTGTGTCGCAAAACACTGCTATCGCTTTAAATATGATGACGTTACAGCAAAAAAAAAGCCGATTACTTGATAACATCAATATAATCAAAATTTAGCACAAAACAAGATGTTATGCTTACTTTTATTTTAAAGCAGTATTACTTTCTAACCACTTTTTAGCGAGTACCTCGTTGTGAATAAAAGTTTCTCGCAATCTACTTGATAACTACAAATTTTTATGCTGATTAATATTAAATAAACGTTTGAAACTAATAGATTTGTTAGATAATAATTAATATGGAATGCACTCACCATTTATGCTCAATAACCTTCTTTATTGAGTCTGCTATGTTAATTATGCGTTTTCTGATTCAGGTATTTGGAATCTGTAAGTAGCCAAACATCGCGTTGTCTAACAGAAAATATTGCTGCCTGCGTCAAAGTACTAGTAGTATTTTAGAGAAAATTCTCTGAAATTTCTGTCGGTTACACTTTTTTCGATTTTCGGTAGTTCACTGTTTCGAAGATACCGATGCTCCGAGGTTTGAGAATGAGTGGGAGCTATGCATCAATCCATGTTTGTTAAAAATGAGTTGTTTGTTCGGTGAGCTTGACTGCTCTAAGTTGAGGCAAACTGTGCCTATTATAAACTTTGGTGTCGCTTCAGATGCTCCTAATATTTTGGTCTTAGTCTTATGCATTTACGTCATAAAACTGTCATTATTTTCCACAAATATTTAACATTTCCTTGTCTGTACAATATGCTATATTTAGCATCAATACCAACCAGTCAATGAAAAGCAGTGACAATTACGCAGCTATTTAGAAAAATAAAGTTTCCGCTTTTTCGATGCAGACTATAAATAATACTACGATATATGTGTAAACTTTGCAGAACGATTACACTTTGAGGAGGTTTTATTCGTTGTTGGTGCAACTTTGATAACTATTTTCGAATTAGCAATCATATTCTAAATCAAGCCATGCATGGTTTAAGAAAAATGTATTAATGTTGGTTTGGCGTAATAACATTCCGGTTTAGTTTGAAAACGATGACGAACCTCTAATTAAATTTTTGTATAGTTGACCATTTTAAGAAATATTTATGTCGCGATACAGATTTATAAGTACGCTATTCTGATTGATTGCGACGATTTAATTGGTTGATTTTTTCGTCTATAAATAACTGACGGTCACAATGTCATCAATACACTGTCGAATTACGCGTTATTGTCATTTCTTGGAACACCGCAATACAATGTATCATCGCTGTCTATTAATAGTTTTGATTTGTGTATTGATTAAAACATCAGACAGGGAATCACACAATACATCGTCATCATACATTTTATTCTACAACCACAGCTCCTTCATACATACATAGCAGTATTACACACGGTCATAACTCCACCTGAGACAAAACCACGGGCATTATATGTATATATTACTATGATACACATATGTTCCTTTGGTTGCGGGTGACATATATCGATATACTTTGATTAGTGACGTTTAAACTACGATTTATGCTCACGATCTAAATATCGGTCTTGTTGTTACAGTCTTTATCTCTAATAACTCTTCTCGACCTGTCTTCAAATTTTTCAGCCCAATGTAGAGACTTTATTGTTGATTGACACGCTTTACAAGGTTTTTAACTGCCATAAAACACTCTACGTTGCGTTGTACTTTCATAATGCTGTATATTCCAAATGTTTGCACGCAATCACAAAAATGGCGTCACCGTTTGTGTTATATTCTCAATAGAGACGACACAATATTTCAAAGCCGATGATTGGCTGAAGACGTCGTACATACGGTAAGTGCGTGTGTGTGTTATGATTTGATTTCTCGATCAAATTATGAATAAGGGATAGAACGCCCACCACGGACAAAGCGAATACACTTGAATATGAAATAAATGTGCCAACGAAAGCAAGCTAATCCATCCTTAACTATTAAACAATATAAGCACAATTTGCAAAAGACATACTCAATAACGTGAAAATTCCGTAAATCACATGATATAGACACTCAATTACCCGACACGACTATATTCTGATAATTGCGTTCACACGCAACAAACCAGACAAAGTTCTGTTATTATTATGTGTGATATTGAAAGTTAACTAAGATGGTGACTTTGAATTGCATTTAATTAACCTATATTATGCAAAAGTGTGACTGACACTCAACCTAATGGGGCATGCTGCAACAAAACCTATGCAGGAAAAGGTGCAGAGCTTTTGGATTTAACTGTCTAAATTGCTATTGCGGAATAGCTCTAAATGTGAATAGATATTGCTAATATTAATTTATGTCATTCATTTGAGTGAATTGCAAAAATCAGGTCAATGTTCTACTCTTCTTTTAACACAGACGTTGTATTGTCATACGTAGCAAGTCAGATAAATATCTGTCACACTACCTACCGTGATGCGATTACAGTACAAAGTTTTCACCTGGGAAGGTCTTATTCTGATGCAATCAGACATGCTTAGCTATAACATATAATAATTAACGTTTTAACAATTGTGGGAAAAGCTATAACAATAAACAATGGTCTGTGAGCACCGCCCATGTCGATCTGGACAGTCATAATTTTTGAGCGTGACGTCCGAAATTTATAAAAGTCGGCATTAAAACTTCATGCACCTTGTGCGCTTCAGACGCTGACGATTCTTAAGATTTGACGGTTACAGGTATCATATCTCGTTGAATCAGGGTCAAAAACTATATTAAAGTAAAATGTGCGATTGTTGTCTTTGGCCAATCATATCTTGTTGCGTAGCATATAACTGCGCCCGCCTCGAACAAGTTACCCAAAATTGCGCCCTTTTCAGACGTTTTTGACGGGCAAAATTCTTTGGACATATTGATAATATTTTGACAATACGCTCTGCTTTTCTTTTTCTTCGTTTTCTTCTTATTAATATACAGATTTAAAAATTAAATAAGAAATGGCAGCTACCAGCCCGTCAGAGTTTAGCAATCCATTAAGGAAATTTAAGTTGGTATTTCTGGGTGAACAGAGCGGTACGTTATAGGGTATTACGCTAGTTTCGCCCTCCATCTTGAAATAGGATGTCCGAGTCATGTTAATGAGGTTAACGTTGTCTCTTTCTTTATATCCGTTTTCTTATCCATTTCGTCGCCGCACTGGCTTTTATTGAACCCCACCGTATGCGGTTTATAACTGAAGTTGGGAAGACTTCGTTGATTACACGATTTATGTATGATACTTTTGACAACACGTATCAGGTGAGCATCTTGTTGCCTATTATATTACATCAGGAATGTGGAGATGATAGTCAACTTATATCTCTTGACAGGCTACAATTGGGATAGATTTCTTATCGAAAACAATGTACTTGGAAGACCGTACCGTGCGGTTGCAGCTATGGGATACTGCTGGACAGGTAACGAGAAGCAGTTTCCAGTTATCTACCATGTGTGTCGTCCTAACATTACACGGCTTGGTTCATTACAACTCATCTAATTCACACAGGAACGTTTTAGAAGTCTCATTCCCAGTTACATTAGAGATTCCTCTGTGGCCGTAGTTGTGTATGATATTACAAGTGCGTTAATTCATTATCATTGATTTCTATTCTAATTTAAATGTACATTTGGATAAACTGAGTTTTCTTTTTCCTTGATGCACCCACAATATATCAGACCGAAATTCATTTATGAACACTGCGAAATGGATCGATGATGTTCGTGCTGAACGTGGTAATGATGTCATCATTGTATTAGTCGGTAACAAGACCGATTTGAATGATAAGAGGTAATACTATACTGTTATGGCTAATTTCAGGCTTGGGGTAATATAACGTTGCGTTACATTGCATTACATATCATTACATTATGCAGGCAAGTTTCAACAGATGAAGGAGAAAAGAAAGCCAAAGAATTCAGTGTTATGTTTATTGAAACGAGCGCAAAGGCTGGTCATAATGTCAAAACACTTTTCCGGAAGATTGCGCAAGCTCTTCCTGGAATGGAGAATACAATGAATGAACCACAGAATCAGCGTAAGTGTCCTTTTCTGTAAAACATGACCGAGTCGCTAATCATCTGTAACTAGTTAAGGTCTGACTCAACACTTATTCATCCAACGTTTCGTCTTCCTCTTCCAGTTATCGACGTCAACATTAATTCTGGATCACAGAATAATAACGAAGGCTCGGGTTGTACTTGTTAATATATGTACTATTATTATACACGTAATGATTGAATATTAGATTATATGTACACTAAGTAACTAGTTAAGTTCTAGCTCATTATTCCCACAGTTCATCCGTTCCCAATAGATTTAAACAAGATCTTCGCTCAAACCCTTACTCTGTATTTTTTGATCTTATTTGTACTATGTCCACACATCTTGAATATTGTTTTCTTCTGTCCATCTCTATTCTGCTCCGCCTTAGCTACAGATGGCTCACGGATTCTCATTGGTTTGTCTTCGGTTTTTGCTTCCTGTACCGTGCACAACCATTATTGTCATAAGCTTTGCATAATATTGCTTTTTTGGTATGATTCTTGTACGAGCCCTGTAATATCGTCCGATTTGGAAATAATTAAATGATTCTTTTTAGAATTTTCAGAATATGCCGTACGTAGCAATTATTGAAACGTAGCCTTCAGGTTATTTGTAATATTTATTCTCACCGCTAGAGAATTAATAGTTATAGTATTTAATTTGGTCCCCCCACTTTCTCGCTGCTATTTACTAGGTTCCTCTGTTCACAAATTATATTGATGTAAATGAAGTTCGTGGTTAACCGCACAATTACCCAGTGAAGTAAATTTATTTCTGTTGATACAGTGATGAGATATATAATATTAATATTAAGAATTTTTTTGAGGAGTTGACATGACAGGTGGTAAACAAATAAAGAAGGTGGATTCTTTCACTTAACACCAGAGCACAAAATTGCTGTTCTCTTTTTGTTCAGATTAATCAATTCCATCTTGGTAGCATTCAGCTTTTGCAAAAACCCATAGCTCCCACCCAGTTTGAGTGTGTCCATCCGTTCTTTGTCATATGTGAGGCCACCTGACACTTCACCACATCCAATATCAGGTTGTCAAGCAGCTTGATGCACACATTGACTTTATACCCCATTCTTGCTTGCTCTGCGGGGTTCTTTATTAATTGGCTAAATATAAATATGAAATGTAGTTGCCATCAATAAACCTCAACAATAACCATCAGAGGTTCAGTAGATTTTGTTATAAATATTTTGTGATGACAAGACATGCTAACATATGCATACACTTCATATTCTGATTCATAATTCAATAAATTATTATTATGATTATTCTAGTGTCTTGCAACAATAAAAATTTTATCATGTGACGTAAATGAGAGGCTTGTGACAACAATTTTGAACGCGAACTCATTCATAAATCATGGACTTGTTAATTTTAATGTTCACTTTATCACACCATAACATGATATAAAAATAATCCGAAGATTTCGTTCAAAATTCGCGAGCTGGTAAAGACATGATCAATTTTTTTGTAACGCAAGAAGTAAAACAGAAAAGGGCTTTACCAACACTATTTAAAGCCTTTATGGTCCAAAGTTTTCAATTGAGTCTTCGCTTCTATTTTATGGATTATCTAAGTATATTATACTGTTATACACTCACTGGACAAAAGTCTACGTAATTTTTGTCGATCACATAGTAAAACATATGAAAAATCTATTTTTTCGA